TAAGGTATCTGACATGATATGGTACCCCTTATAAGGTATGAACAAGGTTCAAAATATCACAACATATCAGTGCATATTGTACGATCCTATGGATTTTTGAACCCTCCAAAATGCCAAGTACAGGGAGTTAGGAGCATGGTTTAAAATGTCCCTAATTTCCCTAATATTTCCCATGACATATTTCCACTTCCATTGGGAAGCGGCACGGAATATTATTGGAATCAACATATTCCCCAATGAATACTACTAGCACCATGTGGAGTACAATTGCTGCAAAAGTCTCCGAGTAATCAATACCATAGGTTTGTGTGTAACCCTTTGCAACAAGTTGAGCCTTATATCTTTCAAATAATCCATCTGCATTATGTTTCACGATGAACACCCATCTGCACCCAACTGGTTTCTTTCCTTCAAGTTGATAAACCAACTCCAATGTCTCACTTTTAATAAGTGCATTCATTTCCTCCTTCATTGCATCCTTCCACTCGAGCATAGATAGAGCTTCCTACACAGTTTTGGGAATGGATATAGTAGAAATAGATGCCAAATAGGATTTATAGGACAGTGAAAGGTAGTCATAAGAAAGACACTGAGATATGCAATGGGTAGTGGAGGTTGTGCATCTCTGTTTCCCCTTGCGAACTGCAATGGGAAGGTCAAGATCATCTATAGAAGGCAAAGGCTCTGTGGTGGCAGGCGCAAGAGTAGGAAGTGAAGCTGTAGTATCTGAACCTGGAGCCACAGAGGAAACTGGAACTGGCCTGGGCTGTTCAAGAGTACCAAAATCAACTCGCCTTCACCGCCTATGAAAAACCCACAACTCCTTGGATTTCTGACAATGGTCCTCACTACACAATTCAGGAACAAAAAACCCCTCTCACCTTTCTCTCCTCCTGAGATGAAACTCCTAGATAATAAGGGACATCCTCAAAAAAGGTGGCATCCATAGACACAAACCAAGAGCCATAAATTGGACCATAATAGCAATATCCCTTTTGATTTTGTGCATAACTGAGAAATATGCATTTGGTAGCTTTAGGATCAAATTTAGAAAGATGAGGCCCCAAAATCTGAACAAAACTGAAGTTGAAGTGGGAGGACCAAGGGTAGATTGAGATGGTCCTATAATGCCAACTTCATTCTCCAACTGTGTCAAAACAGCCCTTACCATAGCCAAGGCATCTAATGAAGTAGGTCTAGCTCCAATAGAAGAGGGGACATTTGTAGTAGTGGCTACATTTGCCTTTCCCTTTTTATTGTTAATTCTTGAAGGCACCAAATGAGGATGAGGCTTCCAGCATGTGTCCTTGGTGTGTCTAGGTTTCTTGCAATAGTCATAGACCACCTCCCTTTTTTTCTCCTTCCTTACCTCTTTTCCTTATCACCACCATGCTTCTACTCCATAGCTGCTAGGGCTGATTCAATTTGGGAATTTTGTAGCATAACTTTCCTTCTATCTCCTCACTATGCACCAAAGAATAGGCTTGGGACAAGGTAACACTTTCCCTAGTGAGAAGTTGTTGTCTCACACTATCATATTCAGAATTCAGCCCTGCTAGGAATTCAAAAACCCTATTTCTTTCCACCAATTTGTTATACGTTGCTGCATCCTTTTGACTTTCCCATTCAACTGTCTTCAAGTGATCAATTTCATGCCATAGGGACTTCAGAGTTGAGAAGTAAATCAACACAGGTTTTTCCCCCTGTTTCAGATTTGTTACTTCAGTTTTCAGCTCATAAGCCCTGGCTACATCAAGGGGATGAGAGTATGTTTCCTTTATATTATCCCAAATGTCTTAGCAGTCCTTGCCCAAAGGTAGTTTCTACTGATACGAGGCTGCATTGAGTTGTAGAGCCAAGAAATAACTAGGTAATTTTCTTGAACGGTTGAACCCACTTAGCATGGGAGGGGTCTTCCTTGGCTGGCTTCTAAATATCACCATTTACATACCCCAACTTACCCTTCCTCCAATGGCCATCATAGCTGACTGAGCCCACTCAAGATAGTTTGTTCCATCTAGGGGTGTCGATTGGACTGGATTTGGTCCAATCTGATTCAGTCCAATGTGAATCCATTACAAATGGACCAGGTCCTATCCAATCGAATGAATAATTTGGACTATTTTGGACTGGTCCAATTCAATGTTCGGACCGTCCAATTTGTTCAAATCCATTTTAATTTAGATTGGTTTCAACCCAAACTCGGTCCATTGACACCTATATTCTTATCTTATATCAATGGACCGGATATTGCTTAATCCACCCAAATCCAATATAAATTTATTACAGGCGTACCAGGTCCAGTCCAATCTAATAAATATTTTGGACCGGATTGGTCCAATCCATTGTCTTTTTGGTCCATCCAATCCGTCCGAATTGATTTTGGACTGGACGGGTCAACTCCAAAACCGTCCATTGACACCCATAGTTCCATCAAACTTAATGGTCATGATCTGGAAAGGGTTGCTGTCCATCACACTACCAGCCCCTACAAGTCCTTCCCCAATGGATTTGAACTCATTTCCAACATTCTCCATGCTGAATTGAGCAAGGTATCACAAACCCGACTTCTTTCTGATAGAAAAGAATGATTTTCAGATAAATATACAGCAGCCAAGCTGTACACAGATTACTGTCACTCAAAACTGGTTGTTCCAACAAGGAAAAACCCTAGAAAAAAATGGAGAACGCAAGAAAACTCCAGCCGCTACTTCCAGAAGCTTCTGTAGGTCCTCCACTTGCTGTCGACCTTAAAACAATCAGAAAACCACCCAGAAAACACTGAGCACCACCTTCAAACTGATGTTTAACCCCTAAACCCCAATCAAACAAGTATCTCTGATCCTTCCTGGTCACTGGGCAAAAACAGAGTTCAGAAAAATGCTAGAACAGTGCACCAATCTCCACTGACCTCCAAGAATCAGGCAAAAAAGGTCTGAAACTCCAACCCTAATAGAGTCTCATTTAGCTGGCTGAGTTAAGCATACATGAGACCTTACCCCAAACCTAAACCTGCTCTGATACCAACTTGAAAAGGTTGCTGTAGCAGTCTTAGGTTTAGTACGAAACCTGTTCAGAAAAAATAGAAAAGAGAAGAACAGAGGAAGAGGAGAAGAGAAGAAAAAATTAGAGAAAGAGAGAGCAGAATGAATGAGTTATGCCACCCTCATTGTCTTTTATATATGACTCAATAAAAGAAGGTACAATGACAAAAATACCCCTGTCAACTATGACAAAAAATAACAAAACAGCAGCCTGAATCAATAAAAAATAAAGACGGGGCTACATATAACTGCATATAAAAACATATAAAAATACCAAGGGGCCTTTGCTATATCTCCACAAACATGAAGTTAAATATTAGTTTTTGTTAGTGTAATAGATTATTTGGTTGATCTGTTACAACCATTTACATTTTCTCTGAGTTTGAATTTTGCTTTAACTCATTCTATCATGAAGCTCTGAATCCTAAGGTTTACAGAGCAACTTCAGAACATATTCTTTTGTCTATAGCCTTAGTTTCTTAGCTTTGTCTAATGATTCGGAACAAGATAATAATTTAAAAAATGTGCCTATGTTTCCTTTATCATTTCATAAAATACCATTCTATATTTTGCATATTTTACAATGTTTACCATGTCTATAATTTTTACAATATCTTCATACGATATCTCCAACATATTTTTTATATTTGGACGACCAACATTTCAACCAGTTCTGATATTTTAAACATTGGTTAGGAGGGTTCTTTATGTTTAAGCATTAGAACTCCTCCTAAGATGTATTTCTCCATACGATATCTTCATACATATCCATACACTTGCTAATGTCGTTTGTATGACAATGATGTCAGTGACCCCCTTGTTTCTCAGTTTTTGAAGAGCATCTATCTGGATCTGTTTTTGCTCTGATACCAATAAGAAAGTAGTGTGCAGTGTGTGAAAGAGACAAATAAGGAAGAAGAGAAAAGAAAAGAGAGACAATGTTTGAATGAGTTTGAGAGCATTAGAAAGTGATTGTTCTTTAAAGGATCGTTGGGAGTCAGGGACTCTACAAGGGCTGAGTTACTAGCGACTATTCAAGGAGTACAACCCAGCTTGGTGTGGGGTCTCTGATTGAAGGGGATTCCAAGGTGGTGGTGGATGATTTGAAGTACTCAGAATATGTTACTTGGTGCTATAGGAACAAAATCAAAAAATTCAAGTGGCTTACACAAAATATGAATATAAGAACACAGTGGGTGGGAAGATCAGCAAATGTCTTGGCTGATTGTTTAGCCAAGCAAGGGGTAAATAGGGAGCATTTGTTTTGTGCTCAGTTGTGATTTGATTTTTGTATTAACTTCTATATTCTCCTAGGTATGCTTGTATGTTTTGATCTTTTGAATTAATAAATTCCTCATGGATAAAAACAGTATTTATTAATATGCAGTTAACTCAAGTGGGTCACCTGTAAGCTGACCCCATGGTTCAAACAATGTAACATATTTAAATGAAGACTAAACACTAATGTCACCTGCATCTGGCCCTCATAAATATCAAGCATGAGAAAAACACATTAAAATAAGAAAAGCGCATCCTCTCACTTTCCACATAATGCCCTCTGAAACAAAAGCTTTTTCCAGAAGCAAGGTGTGGAATAAAATAAAAAGAATAGTTCATATGTTTTTGGGATGATGAGGTTTTCTAGATTTGATATACACTGGACTTGAGCATTGAAGTTTCATGCCTCTTTTTTTTCTTTTTTTTCCTCTTCCTTTTTGTTGGTTTAAGTCTTCGCTTCATTTATTTTCCAGTGTACTGTTTGACTGCTCCTTTTCTATTTTAATTCAATTTATTATGTTAGTCATCCTAAGGAAAGGAATGGAAAAAAATTGCAATACTGCGAGTCCAAATTTAGGGTTTGACACTGCCAGTCCAAATTTCACAATACAAAAACAGCCCATTATATCCTATCTGAATGATAGAAATACTTACTTCATGAGAACTTGATCGTATTAGGTCAGTGAATCTGCATTTGAAACAAAAGAAGAGAGAGCTTTATGGAATGCTTTCTTGTCAGTAAAGACCAAGATCCATCCTGGTATTTTCTTTCTCCATTTCTATAATTCACTTTTCTTATATTGGTGCTTTATTAAGTTTGAACCGTGTTTAGCTCTTGTTCCTTTCCCATCTCCTGTATAATCATCCATTTATTACAGGTATTCCTATCTTTTGATAAACATTTTTATGATATTTCTTTGCAGGTGTGGAGATTGATGATTTTGTTGAATCATCTTTGGAACTACTACAGCCACTTGAGGATTTCTTTAACCATGTCTTTGTCATGGTGGTATGTTCTAGAGATTGCTCCACATTTTACATCTGAAAATTTTCAATAATAAAAAATGGAGAAATTTGCCTTTAGCTTAGGCTTTAAGATCTAAGCATGCAAAAGTTGAAGAAATTTTCAAACTTAGAAACTGCAAATATTAGAGAGTTGAGAATTGGCATCATGTTGGAAAGATGAAATTATGCTTAGGTTTGACATCTGCTTCATGTTACTCACCCAATTTCTGAGTAGAATCATACATGTTGACTTTAATTTGAGCTTTCCATCCATTATTAGTAAAATGCAACTCGAGAATATACCTGATCCATAATTATTTGATGCTTTTATAGAGGGTATCAAGCTTCAAAGCCCTTTCCTAGGGCCTTAGGCCTCCCACTCTCAATGGTTTTGTCATAATCTCTCTAATCCATTGATAAGATTCTGAATAATGTTCTGAAAATTGTAATCATACATAAATTGTTGGGTCTCTTTCCCAAAAAGTTGTCAAGAAACTGAAGTTAGGGACAAATTACATGTGATCATGAACAATGTCAATAAAGATACCTCCACCCCCATAGTTTCTCTAGATGCACTTCCCATTGGTTCTTTAATGAAGTTTATTGGGTCAATATTCAAGTTTAAAAGCAGGTCTATAGATCATCATCATCCAAGCCTTATCCCAACTATATGGGGTTGGCAACATGAATCCTGTTTTGCCATTCGGTTTTAATGTCATACCATTGCTAAATTATGGGCACTTAAATCATTTCTAATTATTTCAACCCATGTCCTTTTTGGTCCTCCCCTAGCCCTTCTAGCCCCTTCAACTTGCAACAAATAACTTCTTACAGGTGCTATTTGCGGTCTTTTATGCATATGACCAAACCATCTTAGTCTACTTTCTCTCATTTTATTACCTATTGGGGCTACTCCTGATTTCTTTCAAATGACTTCATTCTTGACCCTATCCTTTCTAATTTTCCATTCATCCATTTCAGCATACACATTTCTATGACACTCTCTTTTTGGGCATTCTTTCTTGATTGCCCAATATTCTATTTCTTACAACATAGATGGCCTTGCAACTATTTTATAAATTTTTCCTTTCAATTTAAGTGGTATTCATCTTGTCACATAAGACTTTGGATGCACCCCTCCATTTTTCCCATCCTACTCTAATTCTATGGGCAACATCCTCAATCTTTCCCTTGTTATGAATTATCAAACCAAGATAGTAGCAAAGGTCATATTCTGTTAACTCTTGATATCTAATCCTAACTGTATCCTCATTTTCACTCCTATTATTATTAAAATTATATATCATATATTTTGTTTTAGTCCTACTTATTTTAAAATTGCTTGTTTAGAGGGTTTTTTTCCCATAAACTTAGTTTTGCATTTAATCCTTCATTAGTTTCATCAATTAAAACTATGCCATCAACAAACAACATGCACTACGGGACCTTCTCCTGAATATGTTTAGTTAATTCATCCATGACCAAAGCAAATAAACAAGGGCTAAGTATTGAGCCTTGGTGCAGACCAATCGTGACAGCAAAATCTGATGCCTCTCCCCTAGGTGTATGGTGAGTTAGAGAGATGATCAAAGACTTCAAAAGGGCTCAGTTCTTGGATTTTTTCGGTGGATCTAGAACCCCTTGGGTTGATCATCGAAATTAGGAAGAATTGGAGGAGGAAGAGTCTTGATTGCAGTAGAACTCTTTATTTTTGGCCTAGAAAGGGTGCTCAAGATCTTTTAGACTTCTTAGTGTTTTTTGAAGGGGGTGGTTCAGTTTTGGAGTTTTTTGAGGTCTGTAGAGGGAGAGACATCCTTTTCTCTTGTTTCTATAGGCTCATGGGAAGCCAAGAATCTCTCTGGGTGAAGAGATAAAGACCATTTGGAGATTGTGGTTTGGGAGAGTAGTAAAGAAGCTAGTAGAGAAGAATAGAGTGTTTGAGTTTCTAGTAGAACTCAATCTAGAATATGATATTGCATGGTAGCATGTTCTTTTTCGTGATAGTGGAACTCTCTCTCAGGCACATATGCCTTTGTGTCTGAAGAAGAGAGTAGGAGGAATGTTATGATGAGGAACCCAAGCATTGAGTAATCTACTATGGTTAGCATAATGAAACCTAAGTCTGGTGGGGATAAAGGTGGTAGTGATAGTAGGAAGAAGGACAAGAAGGATTTGATTTGTGACTACTATAAGAAGTCTAAGCATACCAAAGATACTTGTTGGAGAGATATATCCAGTTTAAGTCAGAGAGATACAGCTAGTTTCCGTTCTTCATCGGGTGGATAGCAAGGTGCAACTGTACAAGTGGCCCAACAGCTAGTGATACTACTTCATTTTCTCATTTAGGTAGTTCATATGCCATTGCAAACTATGCCTCCACTACAGGTAAAAAGAGGACCTCCCTGGATTATAGACTCAGAATCCTCATAACATATAACCAATATTTCCACCATTTTTTCTTCGTACCACCTCTTCTCTGGTAGAGTCTCTATAGCTAATGGCTCCCATGTTCCCATTGCTAGGAAGGGGGTCCGTCAAAATAATTAATTCCATTACCCTACCTTCTGTACTGCATGTTCCAAGAGTATTAATCTTTTATCTGTGAGTAGTTTGACAAAATATTTGAATTATTGAGTAATTTTTTCTCCCRGTCTTTTTCTTTTTTTTTTTTGTAGGATCTAGAGTCAAACAAGACGATTGGGAATAGTTGTGAGGTGTGTGAATAAACCCTAGTTGATTCTAGGTCAAAGTAAAGAAGAAGAAAGAAGAAAGAAAAGAGAAAGAAGAAGAAGAAGGAGAGGAGAAGAGTGTTCGGCCAGACTAGAAGAGAGAATGTTCAAAAAATCACTCTCCTAGTCGACCCACTTGATTTTTATTCATAAAACTTGAGTTACAAGAAAGACAATTTTGTCCCTCATAGAAGATGGGACACATAACTTAAACTCAGATACAATAGACCTTTCACTTTCAAGAAGATAMACCRGAATGACCAAAATACCCCTGACTCGAGCATTCTAACACCCCCTCAAGCTGGAGAGTATATATCATATAGTCCCAGCTTGTTACAAATGTAATCTATTCTTCCCCGAGAC